AAAAAATAAATTTTTAAAAAAATACTTAAAAAAAAAGGAATGGCCATAAAGCACTTTCTAAATATAGTGATGCTTTCCCCATGGCACGGATTCAAGGAAAGGCCCTGTCTCACGGAGCCTAATGATAGAGTAAGAGAGAAACTCAGTAATAAGAAAGCAAATTCAGCATCCCCAAGTTTTTCCAGGTCCTTCCTGTGTATCAGGCAAGATCATTTCTGGTCGTTCAATGTCATTTAGTCATCAGTTAGGACTTAATAGATTGCATTCGTCTACCCAGAAAACTATTGGAAAAGCAATAAGCTGCACAAATTAACACATTGAATATGTAATTCCTGATGTGTAAACCTATAAATAAATTCAACCCGGCTCAAAATGTTATTCCAACTTCTGAGGCCAAGCACTATTAAAACCCATTCCTGAGGCCATTTTCTAGATTCTGATATGAATGTTGATAAATACTTCGGGGAGTCCTTCATCCATTTCCTAATCTCTTTTCTTATATCAACCTCTAGACCACTTCAGAATCAGACCTTTCTTTCTGTCTTTTCTTTCTTCCCTTCCTTCCTCTCCCCATTCTTCCTTTCTTGTTTTTAAATCAGTGAAGCCATAATATTGGTAAGCTAAAAGGGAAATTGGTTAACCTTCATCCATGGCTATCTCAGGCAAATGTGAATTAGTTGGTATGTTTTTTGTTTTAAGGTTTCTTAGCAGCTTAGAGTTTCAGAATCTCAAAATTCTCCCACAAGTCCTCATTCCAATAACCAGGATACCAATTGTTCCTAGTTAATATCAAACATTCTACTTAAGAGACCTGCCAAAATTGTGAATTAACCTGGCACTGTAGCTCATTCTTTGATATTTAGCAGGCACAGCCTGATAGCTATAAGCAAGTCTTTCGACTATGTTACAAAAATGGCTTGTGTTCTACTCCATGCCTTAAAGCAAAAATTTTAAGAAATAAGCCCTTTTTCTTCTAGCTTTATACTATTCAGTTCCACTATGAACAAACATCATACATATTTCTTTGACGGGCACTTCTTGTCCTCTTTGAATTCGTCCAAAGCAAAAACCATCTAGACTGCAGCTGATTAGCTGTTTTACAGTTGCTATGAAGGCATATTAATTCCATGGCACAAAATATGATTAGGAGCCTTACACTGCTTTGCTCCATTTCATCCAATAATCGTACTTTAATAATAATTCCACATTTTCTAAGGATCTTTTGCCTACAACCCACTCAAGGCTACCAATTTCTATATTGGTAGGTTTCCTTGTTTGACAGCAAAAGAACTTAATCTAATTTTAAAATGAAAACAAGGGACTTCCCTGGTGGCACAGTGGTTAAGAATCCGCCTGCCAATGCAGGGGACATGGGTTTGATCTCTGGTCTGGGGAGATCCCACATGCCGCGGAGCAACTAAGCCCATGTGCTACAACTACTAAGCCTGCTCTAGAGCCTGTGAGCCACAACTACTGAGCCCACGCACCACAATTACTGAAGCCCGCATGCCCTAGAGTCCATGCACCACAACTACTGAGCCCATGCGCCACCACTACTGAAGCCCTTGTGCCTAGAGCCTTTGCTCTGCAACAAGAGAAGCCACCGTGACGAGAAGCCCGCACACCGCAACAAAGAGTAGCCCCCGCTCGCTGCAACTAGAGAAAGCCCGTGCACAGCAACAAAGACCCAGCACAGCCAAAAATAAATTAAATAAGTAAATAAATAAATAAAATAAAATGAAAACAAAATGCTGGTGGGAAACAACCTACCGGAACATGAAACAGGTCAGCTCTAGCAAGCAGAGCAGCAGGAACTCAGGAGCCATCTTAAAATTGTGGCCAAAGGATGACTCATATTCAGCTTCCTCCTGAGTCCCAAGGAGAGAGTACATGACTGGATTAAAGTGAACTGTGTACAGCTGGCAATGCAAACTAAACCTCAGCGAATGACATCAGAACAGCCCAACCAACACAGCTGGGGGAAGGAGTCTGTATTTGTGTATGCATGGTTTCTATTTGTATTGTAGACAAAAACAACACATTTCATAATTTTAACTTTAAAAAGTTTATGTGTTTATAACTATGCCATCATATTACATAGTTATGAAAATTACATTCTCAATAAACTACAAAGCATTGTTTTGTGAGCATAGACATCCACCTCATTCCTTCCAGTGACTGCTTAATAATCTACTGAACTGATTTTCCACAATTAAGTAACCAATTTACTACTGCTGGACATTTAAACCGTTCCAAGTTTTTTACCATTCTGTAATGAATGTGCTATGCATCTATATTTCTGCACCTGTGCTTTTCGAGAAGATAAATTCCTAGATGTAGAATTGCAGCAGTGATTAATTACATTTTAAATACTGACAGGTCACACCATATTGCCTTCTAAGATGGCTTTCCACCTATTTACCCTCCCAATGTAATATAAAAATATGGTTTCTCACATCTGCAACCATACTGGATATTATCCATAAAATGTGTGCTGGTTTGTGTTGGTGATGAGGACTTTTAAAATTTCCATTTGGGGCTTCCCTGGTGGCGCAGTGGTTGAGAGTCCACCTGCCGATGCGGGGGGCGCGGGTTCGTGCCCCGGTCTGGGAGGATCCTGCGTGCCACGGAGCGGCTGGGCCCATGGGCCGTGGCCGCTGGGGCTGCGCGTCCAGAGCCTGTGCTCCGCAGCAGGAGGGGCCACAGCGGTGAGAGGCCCGTGTATCAAAAAAAAAAATTTCTGTTTATCTGATCATTAGTGCAATTAAGATCCTCCTTTATCTGACTGTTTTAATTTCTTCATTTAAGAGTTGCTGTTATACTGTGTATCTCATCTTATCAGACTTTGTCAGACTGTGTATCTTACCTTATCCTTGCTGCTTTCCAACAGCCCTTTTTTAAGGGCTATATGCTTCGTAATATATGGTTAAAATATATCTCAGTCTGGGGGTTTCCTTGGTGGCGCAGTGGTTGAGTCCGCCTGCCGATGCAGGGGACACGGGTTCGTGCCCCAGTCCGGGAAGATCCCACATGCCGTGAAGTGGCTGGGCCCGTGAGCCATGGCCACTGAGCCTGCACCTCCGGAGCCTGTGCTCCGCAACGGGAGAGACCACAACAGTGAGAGGCCCGCATAACGCAAAAAAA